TGTTGCACTCTTTCTAGAATCTCAACATCGTTTCTGTATCATGGTGACCAAAATTAGATGCGGAGTTGATGAGTTAAGAGGGCGGCACCTGGATCGGCTGCGGCTACATTGGCTCTTGAAGGTGAAAAGGTTTTGGGGGGATATAAGGGATAAAGCCACATGATCAGGAAGGTTTTGATGTGTTTGAGCAACATAGTGGGACTAAGCTAACATACGACCGACAATCTTTGCTGCTATGGCGAGTTTTTAGCTGTTTCGGAACTGTTGGTGAGACCGTTAAAAGTCATTTGCGCTATTTGAAATTGTTCTGCCGGCAGCAAGATCTGACTGCTGGCACAGCGATGGATTCTATTGAAAAACAGAGCTGTTTCCGATGGAGGCAGAGGACGAGAGGTCCCGTGGCTTATGGAGCGAAGGAACTGGATGAGGCTGACAGCAGGCCCAGAGGAAGGGAGAGAGGCTTTTGGAGGAGTTGGAGGCAGCAGCAGTGTGCTCCAGGGGCAAAAAGGAGCGAGGCCCCTTTAAGGAAAAAGTGGAAGAGACAGGATCAGAAAAAGGAAAGCGAGGTGGGGTTGTCATGCAGGAATACAAGCTAATCCACATGGAGCTCTGTTTCCATCTGTCCTGTTTGCCATCGGTCGCTCCCTAAAGACTAAAATGGACGTTCTGAAACTTGAACTGGCCAGGGAGAAGGAGTGTATATTGGAGGTGGTGACCCTTTGAGAGCTGTATGCAATAAAATTTCATTTTGATGTGCGCCGAATGGTGTACATTCAAAATGACAATAAAGTTCTATTCTATTCTATTCTATTCTATTCTATTGTATTCTATTGTATTCTATTCTATTCTTACCAGTCCAGTATAAAGCGGTACTTGATACTATCCCTTTATTGATGCATCCTAGGACTGCATTGATACTATCCCTTTATTGATGCATCCTAGGACTGCATTGCCTTTTTTGGCAGCTGCATAACACTGCTAGCTCATATTTAAGTAATTGCTCACTAGAGGGTTGGCTATAACTTACATGGCGAAAAAGAATAACAAAAAAACCAACAACAGTTAAAACTACAGAAAGAACTTAAATTAGAATCAGAACTCCAAGCAGACCCACAAAATACTTAAAAACAAATGGAACTAATAAAACATAAATTTAGTAGAGGCCCAAAAAATGGCGCAACAAATTAAAAGAGCCAAAGAGAATTTTTTACAAAATGCTAATAAACTAGGGAGGTGGCTAGCATATAAATTGAAAAAAGAGAGAAAAAAAGTGATAAATAAACTACAAGGTTCATAAGGAGACTTACAGTTTCAAAACGATGCAATTAAAAAAATAATCAAAGACTTTTACCAGATACTTTATAATACAGAGGAAATTTCACAAGAAAAAATAAAGCACTATATTAAAAAAGCAGATTTACAAAAAATTCCAGAGAATATACAAAATATTTTAAATGAAAAATATCAATGATGGAACTGACAGAGGCTATCAAA